CCCAGAACCCCGGAGCCCCGGCGGGGTCCCGGGCCGGGGGTTGGCAACCCTGTCTAAAAGAGTGGGTTGAGCACTGCGAAGAAACGAAGCTGCGCTCGGGGGAAAACAAAATTTTGAAGTGTGTATGTATCTTTCCGTGTTTTAACAAAATCGTTCACTAGAATTTTGAACATGCCCAGCATAAAATGCAGCCAGGCGCATTTGTGAACCGAGGATTTGGGCAACGGGCGGGGCGAGGGCGGAAGGAGAGGACTTACCTGCTGGATGAAGAAGTGACTGTACCGTCCTCCTGCAGGCCAGCTAGCTGTCGTCATTGTTGAGACAGAAAAAAATGAGTAGGAACAGCCCCAGAGGTTGAAGACCTTGCTTGTTTGCCCAGCGCTTTGCCCACCATATCGGCTGAAAACGATGAAAGACAAGTTACGGGCATACGGTCCTGCCTGCTAATTGACACATAACCATACTGCCGTAAAGAGTAGAGTGAGTCCAGCCGTGAGGGCGTTGGCTCACCTGCTGGCGAGTGCGCCGCCCAGCCATCAGTTGTTGGTACTCGAGTATAACCAGCCGCAAAATTGGGAATTATTGGTGGTCGATGGGTTGCGTGGCCTGTGGACCAAAGGAGCTGCGGATTGGGCTGCGAAGTGGAGATTTACCTGTTGGCTGGCGTACCGCTCATCTCGTCACTTGGAAGCAACATCAGGCAACAACGAAGTTGCAAGCTTAGTTGTTAACTAATGTGCGACCTAGACCATTGAACGAGCTAGTTGCAAGTAAGTCGCGGCTTCGAGAGTTGTCTGCGGACTGATGCGTTGTTCAGTCTGCCGACTGCAGTAGTCAGAGACGAGTCGTGAGTTTGTGGACTTATTGGTGATCATTATACTTAGGGGCCGCGGACACTGTGAAGGGACTGCGATTGTTGAAAAGTGAGGGTCTACTGCTGCGATTTGGAGGGTTGTCAGGGAGTCAACGGTTAGCAGTTCAGCTCCAATCTGATCAGCGACTGTATGTTTTGACCATTTTTGCTGCACATTCTGGCTGCCATTGCAGGGCCCTAAGGCGAATGAATATTACAACGCCCTCTCCTGAAAGTTTAGTAAGTCCCCCTCTTGTATCTCGAGAGTCTGAAACCCCTACTTTTGTCTTTCTTACTCTCACTTAAAGTCTAAACCAGTTCTGAGAGGAAGGCGGCAGGCGGGATTGCAACCCGTAGGGCCTCAGCAAGACTGTGGGGAGTCAGCCCACCGATTGCGGGAGCTCTGCCAGAACTCAGGAGGAGTTCTGGAGGCAGGTATCTGGGAGGTAACCTTTCATCTCCTTCTATAAACCCAAGTATAACCCCTACCTGTACTTCTTGCTATGGTTGACAAAGGATATTGCCTGCATTTCTACTTTGACTTTCTGTTTGACTTTTAGGATAAAACAGACTTAATAAAATAATGATTGTGCAAATTCGGTTTTAGTTTTTGTTGTATTGACTGAAAGCAGAATGTGGGATTGCATCTCGGGAAGGATGGAAGGAAGATAGTATCTCTTGTTTGACTGGGTTTATCAACGGCTGGGCAAGTCTCCATAAGTTTGAGGAGGCCCAATGCTATGTTTATTTTGAATTGCGTGGAGAACCAAACATGTTCCATAAGTTTGGGTCGTCTGATTGCTCTGACTTGCGAGGGATAACTCTGATTGACTTTTCAGGAACCAAACATGTTTCATAAGTTTGGGTGGCTTGGTTGCCTTGTTTACTTTGGGTTTCTTTCTTTTTTTTTTTGGTTCTGAATGAGGAGGTCTGAGCATGTTCTATAAGTTTGGGTGGCTCAGCCTGTTCCTGTTTTGGCTTTAAGAGAATGAACCAGGTTGAGGACCAAGACATGTTCCATAGGTTTGGGTGGTCTTGGTCCAACGCCACGCACATGTTGGAACCAGAAGGCTATAACTTGACTACACTTTATTACTATCATACTTATGAACACGCTAGTCAGACAAGGTTTCATAAGTTTGGGTGGTCTGACTATAGCTTATCACCAACTAAAGAGAGTACTAATTAAGAATAAATATGTGGTACGAAGGGGCAGACTGAATCTTGAGCTAAAGATGATCGGTTCATTTATATGTTAGCTCAAAAGACTAAGTGAAGATAATTATATAAAACTTGGATATTTAAACAGTTTAGGGCGACTAGGGTGGCCTAGTCATATGCCCAAAGAAGAAAAAAAGTTGTTTTACCCTGTGTTTGTGTATACTTCATGGTTGAGCTAGACATGTTCCATAACTTGAAGTTTGGGTGGTCTAACTTTATGCCCTGTATAAGTTGGGTATAAAGGGATAAATCATTGAGAGACTGTGAACTATTGTTTGATAAATTGACTTAGGGATGATGAGAGTACTTACCTTTGTGGTTTCACTTGCAAGTGACTGAGTGCGAGTACTGTTTAGTCTGAGTTTCAGTTGATACGTAGTTGCTTTAGTTGCTCTCCACGTGCTAGAGCCATAGGAGGTAGTTGCAATTTCTGCATTTTCTGAGCTAATTTTTTTTTTACTTAGGTCAATTTCTGTATTTTCTGGGATTTTTATTATTATATTTGGTCTTTGTATAAATCTTGGTAAGCCACTTTCTCTACGGGAAGCGCTGCAGAAATTTCTACAAAACAAAGGAGTTAGTTA